GGAGTCAGTATTTTATTCCCGGCAAGGGGAAAGCCAATCGAGCTAAGGATGGTCAGACGTGAACTAGTGGAAGTAATGAAATGTGGTAATTGCAAGCGTGAAGGAGTTCTCTTCTTTATTGGGGTGCTGTTGTCCTAATTGGACGTATTAAGTTTGTTGATGTTATTATCTGCTACAATTCGCCTTATGGCGGGATATTGTGAAATATTATTGAAGATGCAACCGTCATATATCGCGGGATGCGGTGGATTAGGATTTAATCAGTGTTTCAAATGTTGACGGTTCGATAAAGATGCCCTTCAGATGGGGTTTTAGTTAGTAGCGATTTGTGGATTCAGGTGCTATGAAGATAAATTTTATTAAGACAACGACTGAGCAACAAAAGATGAGGAGGACATATGGGAAGTGTCAGGCAGAGTTTTAAAACTTCTAAAAGGCCAGGCTTAGGGAGCGCAGGCCGAACAGTTGGTTAAAGGAGTGAGTTTGCCCAAAGTGGGAGAGTGGCGGGGCTGTATAGGGCCTAGTAGTAGGATGACTACGCACCTAAGGATAGTTTGGAAGGATCTGGGATTTTAGCGACAGGCAATGGAAGTCGGTAGATTAATTCGAAGCATGGTGTTGTTATACAGCAGGAGATTGGATATGGCGGAAAGGAGCTGCATGAAGTGAAGAAAGACGTAACATGACTTTGAAGCGAAGGGATGTTGTCGCACAATTAATGGATGTCCACGAGGGGTGAATGGACTCGTGCAGCTGGAGAGTGAGCTCAGACTCAGGATGGGTTATTGATGTCGTAGTGATGGTACCCTACGCAGCAACGTTGGAAGATGCCGGGGAGTGATTTCGACAGGTGGGGTATTCCGGTGAGCAGGTTAGCAGTCGCGTGGTTGGCGAGGCTTTTGCGGAGAGTTCTACTGGATATGCAACAAATGGAATTGTTGTGTGAATGGTGTTAATGATTTAGAGTATCAAATTGAGTTTCTATGGTAAGATACCGAGAATGCCAGCGATTGTCGGTGTGAAGGTGGATGATGATTCAGAATATGAAAGATGGGGATTTACATGAGAATTCCGAGAATTTGCGACGGATGATTGCGCAAGGATTATGCCAATAAGAGATTAAGAATAATGGTGAACTCCAGAGTTTTGTAATAATGGCTTCAAGCTAAGTGGGAGAGTCCCACCGCTTACGATTTGGGCTTCATGGTTAGCTACTTGCGAGGTTCTGGTTAATAG